TTACTACATTACAGTAGCTGGCTAGTCAAATATCTACAAATGATAGAGCTAAAATTAACACTTATGTAGCAGTTGGTTTACAATACTTTTAACTAAAAAAAAATTTATGTAAAAATGATAACTAAATTTATTTTACAATTAAATTTATTGAAGTTAATGCTTAACGATAGAAATAATAAAAACTTTTTTCCATATCAATAATCCATAGTTATATTAATTTCTATACAGAATATTTAAAAAAGAAATTATTATACCAGATGCAAAATGAAATCAAATATTAATTTAACAATTTTGAAAATATTGTTATTATATTATAATATTATCATTATTAATATTATCACTTATACTATTATTAAAATTAATAGAATTAATACAAATTATTAACTTGTCTTTATTATTTAACAATATAATCATTATAATTATAACTTACAATTGTAATTTATGGTCCATTATAATAATGAACCATAAATCATATCATAATTCACCATTAAATTGTGTATAGGTAACATTGTATACAGTATTACTAGTTTTTATTAGTAATAACATATAATAATGTACCACATATTATTACATTATTATAATGTATATTAATAATCATTATTAATATTATTAATATTAATAATTTAAAAATTATTATACTTTACATTATTTAATATTATTATTAATAATGATTAATAAATCATTTAACTAATGCATTATAATGATGCATATAATATTATATTATAATAAAATATAACATTATAAAACTTTGTAGTTATTAAATCTAATAAGGCTATTATTACTAATAATAGATATTTATTAGATTTAACAACTACAAAGTTTTATAATATTAAATACAATAATAATAATATTAAATTTTTAATATCATTAATATGATTATATTAGGAGTTTAGGAGACTTAACTCCTAATATAGTCATATTGTTATTGACTTGACTGTTAAGTTAATAACAATGTCTTTGGTCTAAAAAAGATTCTTAATCTAATACCACCCTCTCCCCCAATACAAAATACAAAATTTGAAAAAAGAGATTTTAAGTACCAAAAGTGCAACACTTTTTATGGTATCTGCAACTAATTATTTTTTAGCAGGTGCTTCGATAATGTGTATAAAAAATTATCCTGATAATTTTGAAAAAAATCCCAACATTCCTTCAACAAGCAGATGCTTCTACATCAACTGAGGGTTTGGGTTGGGGCAGGTATAAATCAGTCAATATAGCTTCTTATAGTATTCTTACATTTATTTTCTTATAGTATTCTTACAATATAGCTACTTATAGTATTCTTACATTTCTCACAAAAACAGTATGATATCTGTTATCCGTTTTTTTTTTAAACTCAAAACCTCATTCTGAGTCATACTATCTTCTGCTTATCTCCTACCTTAAAGGTTCATTGCTTTTTTAAATATAAGGTTTGAGTCTTATTTATTGTAAACATGTTAGCCATCGATGGGCGACATGTTCCTGATAAAGCAGACTTGACTATTTTTGTTGCATGATTATTTTAACTCTTTTCTAAGGTGTCAAGCTTTAGTTATTTAAAAGGGGATAGTTTGAACATGCTGCTTTTGTATTAGGTCAAGCCTCTTTAGTTGTGTTTTGGATTGTGCAGGGTATAATGTGTTGGCATATTCTAATTGCTTACATGTAAGTCCTTTATTTCTATATTTAATAGCTCCTTTGGAAGCCTGAAGGATGCTCGAGCTAATATTTCTATCGCAGAGTGGCATATTTATACAGTTAAATCAATTTGTTTTTGAATTGGAGATACTGATTTATAGTGACCACTAATAGCTTAGTAATTGCTTGAATCTTAATTTTTCTAATTTTAATATGTTAATTTTTTCTTGGTGATTTGATCACTTTTAGTTGCATTTTATTGTGGTTGATAGTGAAATAATGGACACAGAACTTATTAATATCTCCAAACGCTTTGATCAGTTTGCAGAGGGCTGTCTGCAGCTGATAGTGTTATGTCATCTGCAAATAAATAATCTATCGATTTGGTCACATCCATTTAGCTATACTAGTGAAGACCTGTCTTTGCATTGTACTACTGAAGCTAGATGGTCATTAAGATTGTTAAAGTTGATTGTATTATTATCAAAGGTTTGATTTTTGTCTTTAGTATTGAAAAATGTTTGCTTTATATAATTCTATCCATCTTTAGGGTTTTTGCTTTGGAATGCTTCTGTTCTTTTGTCTTTTTCAAACTTCATTATCTGATCTGTTTTTTAATAATCTTAAGTTCTTTTTTTTTTCTATCTGTAAATTCTATATATTTTCCCCTTTTTTTTAGCAAAATAATCTCTTCTTTTTATCATAACTTTAATTTTTTCACCAATCTATTGTGGTCTAGTTGTTTGACATTTTTTAACTGGAGCAAATTTATTTATCATTATTCTGATTGCACTATACCAAGTACTTACTAGTTCATTAGTATCATTAATGACTCAAGTTTAATTAATTATTTTCTATTATTGAGGTCTTCAAAGTTTATGTTTTTAAATAATCTTTTAGATACAGGTTTCACTTTCTTTATAATTGAATCTATTTTTTTTTAAGTGTTGACACAGGGAAATAATCACTGGTTAAGTTGTTATTAACTTTGTACTTAAGGAATACTAGATTATGATCTATGGCAATATAGATCATAATCTAGTATTTGATATAATTGCCATAGATTATGATCTATGGCAATTATATCAAAGCAAGTGGAACAAGTATTTGATATTCTGTTCAGTATTCTGAATCCTCATTCCAGCTAAGTTAAGTGAACATTTTTATTTACACTTGCTTTAACGAGATCTGCATTAAACTCATCTATTATAGTTAAATGGTTTTTATTTGAGATTTCTTTTATTAATTCATTAAAATTTAGCCACCATTCATTTTTTGCCTAAGGAACTCGATAGACAGTTAGCAAGACAATAGGTTTTGATCACTTTGGCATTACCACTTCTAATATTATAAATTCAAAATTCAACATAAGATACTTGTCATCAAAATTTTCCAATTTTTCTAAAATTGATTGATTCTTTACAAGTTTTGCCTTTTCTAATAACTAGATATCCTGGAATATCAGTTGTAGTAACATTTGAGCCAATTTCAGTTTTTACAATATTGATTATGTCGTAATCTTTAACAAAATCCTTGACCTCAAGCCAATGCATCGGAATTCTATTAATATTCCATATTGTTAGTCAAAGTGATCCGATGTTCTTTTTACATCTTAATCTTTTACTTTGTCTTGGGAGTTGCCAATCAAGATCATCTGTTTTGTTAGCAAGATTATAGATTTTTGGACTTGCAGAGGTAGAATTATGGGTTTATCTAATCTTTTTTAGTGTAAAAGACAGACTGTGTTCTTTATCAGTATCTGGTTATAAGTTAAATGATAATTTTATTATCATTTTAACTGGCCATTGGTTGACTATTTTCCTTTCTGTTTTAGTAATATTTACATCAATATTTATGTCCTCGATATATTTATTATTTTCATTCTCTGAGGTTTTCTTATCAATATTCATCATGGTTTCTCTTACCATGTTTGGTTAAATTTTTAATTTGTTTTCATTTTCTTCAATAGTTTTTGTATTATTTGTTTTAGTATTATGAACTGTAATTACATCTTTTTCAGCAGCAACTGGTATGTTATGGTGATCACCTAGATTTCTTATGATAGTTTTTTATTTTTTTCTTTTGTAATTATCTTTACCCAATTTGATAAGCTCAGCTCTCAATTTTTTATTGACTTCCAATTGCTGCTTGATCGAATCTGGTCTTATGTAAACTGTTGATCCCTTATATTTATTTTCTGTATTTCAGGGATCTTTGATATTTGTACTAATTTTCATCTTGTTTTTTTCTCTTTGGTTTTAATACAAAGAAGTCTGGTTGTAGCACAGTAGTTTTTCTCTAGTTGGCGGCAGTAAATGACAGTTTACACGTATGCCAATTTGCACTTATGCCAATGTTTGCAAATTCTTATGGCATTCATATGCCAGTTTTCATTATTGCCAGTTTTTGCAACTGTTTCGCACTTACATCAGTTTGCATTTATGCCATTTGAATATATACCAGTTTGCATTTATGAAATTTGCACGTATTCAGTCGTCCCATTTTTTTGTCTTTCTTATTTCCATACAATTTATTAACTACTAAGGATATCATCCTTAGTAGTTAATAAATTGTTGATAATTATCTTAAATTGTGTTAACATATTTTCATGATCAGTTTTGTTTATATTTGAATGTTAATTAATTCTTACATTTACATTATCTCCGATAGTTTCGTTTATGACTTCAGTTATCAATTTTGTTTCACTAGCAATTAGTTTCTCCTAAATTTGAATTAAGTAATTTGCAACTATGACATATTAACTTTAACTTTTTGATCTTATTTTTATAATATATAGAGTTCAACTTATAGTTTTCAAATATACCCCAACAAAGACACCTACAACATTTCTACCAGTTTGAATGGTAGAAATCTTGCTCCTTATTTTCTTTAGTGATATTATAGTTATATTTTTAACTTTAGTTACTCAGCTACTATTTCGTTAGACAACTTCTAAAATTTATCACATCCTGTCATCAGGCATCTTTTTTTTCTTTTTTTTTTTTTTTTGAATATAACTTCCATAATAATATTTATTATTATTATTTTCATTGTAATTATTGTAAACATACTTATTATTGTTATTATTATAACTTAATTTTGGTATCTTATATTACTATTATTATTATTATTATTATTTTTATTGCTATTATTATTATTATTATTATTGTTGTTGTTGTTGTTACTATTTTTATTATTATTTATACTTTTTTTCAAATGATTTACAGAATATAAATAGCTTGTTGTTGTTAAAAAATATATAAATATAAATAGCTGTTGTTGTATAAAAATTAAAGGTTTCGATGTTTTGTGCTAAAAAAGTAATACAAACAAAAAAATACTACAACAAAACTTAAGTTAAAATTAATTCTCTTAAGAATAAGAAGATAGCATTAGACCAATATTTGTAAAAATGGAATTTGTATCTGGGGTGACTTTATACAAAGCTGATGGCTCTAGTGGCTTAGCAGATAGCATACTTAGTGAAAAGGTTTTTACTTTAATTTTATGTTAGTTTCTGTTTATGTCATAATTTTGAATTTTAAATAATAAAATAGATCATGTATACATACATTAAGTAAAATGATACAATAGGTAAAATATAATAAATATTACCTATATTAATTAATGTGATTTTTTGCACCTTAAACTTTTGTCAAAAAATTGTTTATCATTTTTATTTTAGTATACTTGAAATTTAGGTGCAAGAAAAATGTTAAAAAAAGTTTGAGTGACATAAACTGGAATTTTTTTCTTCTTTTAAATAAATTTTTTTGAATTGTTACAACTATTTAAAATTTTTTAAAGTTTGAAATATTTAAAAAACATTTGTTCTGTTATTTCCTTAAATAAACACCTTAAAACTTTTCAAATTGTTTTTAATAGGATTTTGTGCTTTATTACTTCTCAGCTCATTGGTGTCATCCATGCAGACAGTTTACACCTGTATTAAAAGATTTTTATGAAGTAGGTTAATGTATACGTAATATTTTAATTTATTCTTCATTTATTATCTTTGTTTATTATTTTTTGTAATATGTGACAAATTTTACAAAAAGGTTTTTTATATTCCTATATTTAAAATATAGCTGCCTTATTTTAAATTCGGCAAAAGTACGACAATACAAAACAAAGTCCTGGAGAGATTTAATAAGAATTTATTACCCTAAAAAAATATTATTTATTAAGGTAATAAATAATAATTAAAAAAAATATATATTGATGTTTACTGAGTTTGAAAACTTTAAATACCATAAAAAGAAAAAGTGCATATTATATTAACATCTTTACTTGTTTATTTAAAGCTAGTAGCGTCTAGAGATTCTTGGTTAAATTGATGGTAGCTCCTAGTTCCAAAAAATTTTCTACTTTTTAAATCTTTTCATGATGGTGGCAGTTAAAAATGTATAATCTGTTGTTCCCAGATCTCCAAATTAATTCTACTCTGCTATCTTCTCTATAACAGTCAAATTTCTTTAAATCGATCTTTTCTACAATAAATTAGTATATGTCAAGTATCATTTGACAGTTTTCCGAAATCACAGGAATCCATTCTTACTGTAAAACCTACTAAGTTGCTTTTTAGATTAAACTAGTTATAAGAGACCAATAGTTCTATTGGTCTCTTTTTTTTTAGTTTAATCTAAAATGTTTAATAAAATAGTTTCTAAATTAATATAATTAAATAACTTAAATATAATGGTAAAGAAAAACTAAGCATTGATTGATTTATTTTATCTTTTTTTGAATTTAAAAGATAATTTTTTGTCTCTTTAACAAGGTTTGATTGTAATTAGTTTGTTAATGCTATAAAATTCTAATTAAATAATGAATTTAATAGATGATAAATTTCTTCTATACTAGTGTAATGATGTTTCTTTGTTACTTTTATATATTTACATATACATTGTTGATGTTTCTTTGTTACTTTTATATATTTACATATACATTGTTGCATGTATTTATTTTGCAATAATTATACTGTTAAATGAATTGCGTGGACTTAAAAGAACTAGCTCTTGGTTACAAGTTAAATGTTTTGGCTTAAATTGAAAATTTTACAACAACTAATCAACATTTTTCAGATTTTTTTTTAATTAACAAAAGTTCAAAAAACTTTATTTAATGCATTTAAGAAACCATTTGCAATTTAATAGAGAACAATTTATGTCTTTTGACACACAGATCGACATATAAACAAACATATACAAATTATATTTATAATAAATATATATGTATATTTATAATAATATGTATTATATTTTTAATTTAGGTTGTAAAAGATTCTGGTTTAGAAATTATATTTATGTCTTCTGATGAAAGCCAGGAAGATATGATAAACTATATGAAGGCAAAAAAATTTTTATTTATGTTAAAAAAATTTATTTGGTTTATTTTGTAAAACATTTTTATTCATGTATACTAAATTCTTTTATTCCAAACCCATAAATTATGGGTCATGGTATGAGTTCTATACCGACCATTTAAATACTTATTCTTTTTATGGTCACTTAAATTCAATGTTTTTTAGTTAACAATAGAAAAACTGTTCATTTAAAAATCAAGATTCAAAGTTAACAACTAAAGTTTCTTACTTTAATATTTCTTATAATAAATGGGGGTTCGAGGAAACATATAGTTTTTTTTGTTGCTGTTTTTGATGGACTTTTGATGGAGCTTACTAGATTCCTGACCTCACTTACTTAATAAAAATTAATAGAAATGTAATAACTTCCTACTTTGGGAAAGAAAATTTTCTCTTAGATGTTTTTGATTTGCATATTTAACTAATTGATTAGGTAAAAACATTACCAAAAGTATAAGCGTTAATATCTCTAACATTTCTTCCGGTGATTTCCGAAATATAACTCATAATAAAAGGAGGAGGAGTTAATTGCCACAAATTGGACCCACACTCTATGTGCCTTATAGGATGCAAATTGTTCATTCAATCTGCAATATGCTATATAACAATTGCAAGATAAATCTAAAATAAATAACAAAAACTATGATATGATAAAAAAAAGTAAAGACATAACATGTAAACAATCAATTTACCTGTTGCTGCTGCTAATGTTGTTACTGCCATTATTATTGTTATTGATGTTACTGCTTTTTTAAAAATACAAATATACAAATACAGATAAAAACTTTGTTATTAAATTCCTAATGTTTGAAATTAATGATTGCTTGTCTAAATATAACCAAATAATATAAAAAATAAATTTGTATAAAAATCTGCTATAGTTCTATCATTATTTCTAAATAATAATACTGAACAAAATAATTTAGTTGATTAAAAACAAAATTGACAATCTAAAAAACAAAACCTAAATTGATATAAAATGGATTGTGACTTACTTATACTTGAAAGAACATTATCATTAATATTATTAGTACTTAGTGACCATTTCCACCTATCTACAAAAAAGATGGTTTACTTAGTGACCATTTCCACTATGTTCTAACACACTATCTACAAAAACGATGGTTTAATAGGCTAAGATTAAAGTTATAAAAGAATATAATATAAGTTCATGTGCAATAAAATTCTGGTTAAAAAGCTGATAAGACTTGTATTATCTGTCATTATTGAATGAGGTATCAAAAAGATTATAAACACATTAAAGTGCTTTCTATATTAATGCATGAAAACCCCAACACGTTCTTATAGTAAATACAACATTTATATCATTTTAATAATAGGCAAGTTTTTGCAATTTCTCATAAAAACAGAATAACACATTCATTATTAGAGAATATTACATTTGTAAAGTAGTGTTACAAATAGTGAAAATCTGAAAGACACTTATTGCAAAGACAACAAACAATAACACGATTTAGTAAAAACATAATAATTAAGAGTACAAACAAACTTTTTAATGGCACCAGAAATTAAGGTTATTTATACTTTAATTGCGACTAATAATTTTTGTTTTTTGTTTAAGCTATGAGCTAATAGTCAAACTAGTAAATTTCAAATAATAAAAATTTACTAAATTAAAACCATTTTTTAACAGTAAACAAAATAAAATTATGTTGGTAAAGCCCCAATAGAACTAAATAGAACTAAATAAATAGAACTAAATAGAACTAAATAAATAGAACTAAATAAATAGAACTAAATAGAACTAAATAAATAGAATAGAACTAAAGAAATAAAGTAAAAATAATAATAAGTAGACATGTTTCTTATACATAATCTTTGCAGTTAAAAATGTTCAAAATGTACAAATTTTAAACATTCATGAACAAAGAAAATTGAAATGGTAATAAACAAAAATTAGCATATAAAAAGTTTATTAGAAGTTTGAAAAAGAAAATAAACTTTACTAAATCTAACCTGTTACCCTTTAAATATCAACACCAGACAATGACACTGTACTAAATAAATTATTAAATAACTAGGTTCATATAAAACATGATCAAACATCTAACTTAAAGTTATAAAAACCAACAAAAAAAAAAAAAAAAAATTACTTATATTTTAAATAAGGTAATTGCTAGCTTCTTTTACCTAAAACAGCCTGCTAAGATACAATTTCAATATAACAACAACAACAACAACAACAACAACAACAACAACAAGCTACTTATTTACCATAAATCATTTTTAAAATAATAATTATTATTATAATAATAATAACAACAATAGTAACAATAAATAAAAAAATCAAAAATCAAAATAATAATAAATATTTACAATGGTTATAAGCATAAAATTATTTATAATAATAAGTTAATGATTTATTAGGATGGTGTCACTTACATAGAAATCTGATCAGTGAGATCTTTGATTATTTTGTAATCATTGAACTATACTTTTTTAAATCTGAATTAAGAAATTTACATAAGGAATAAAGTGTATTGAATTAAGAAATTTACATAAGGAATAAAGTGTATTGAATTAAGAAATTTACATAAGGAATAAAGTGTATTGAATTAAGAAATTTACATAAGGAATAGAGTGTATTGAATTAAGAAATTTACATAAGGAATAGGGTGTATTAAATTAGAAATTTACATATAGAATAGAGTGTATTTAATTAGGAAATTTACATAAGGAATGGAGTGTATTGAATTAAGAAATTTACATAAGGAATAGAGTTTATTGAAAAACTTTTTTTGAAATGTAAAGTAGTAGAGTAATAGTGACAAACTTTGAAGAAAAAAAATTTGTTGTCTTTAGTTGGCGCCAAGTGGTTGTGTTTTTTTAAAAAAATATATTTTTTGCCATTATTTACAAAATAAAAATAACAAATTCTATGCATATACTAGATTTGTAATAGAGTTCAATTAGAAATGTTTACAATTTTTAGGAAAATATTTTAATGTCTTTAGTCTTCACAAAAAAAATACTGTTTCTTGTTGAGAAAAAATTGCATGTTCCAATTTTTATTTAAAATTAATTTTAATTATGTTGTTGATGCTTTCACTTTCACTCTTAATGGAATAAAACTAATTAAAGCGTTAAATTCCAAACATTTTGTGGCCTATGGTTACAGCAGTAATTTTTAACATTACATTAAAGTAAAATGAAACTATAATTGCAGCTTTATTAATTTAATGTGATAATGTTAAAACATACATGTCATGCTAAGTTATCTTTATTCACAATCAAAAAGTACAGAAATATTATGAAGTCACTTTACAAAATAAAACATGCAAACAAATTGAAGCCCAACATAATAATTTCAAAAACATGCAGAAAATACTCAGCAATTAAAGATTTATGCAGATTGTATATACGGATAATTTTGATATTAAAAATACTTTGAGTTGCGGCTTTTAAGTAGTTTAAATGATTAAAAAGTAGTTTTAGTGAGTTAAAAATCCTTTACTGGCTAACCCATTGACACAGTGTTATACTACTTACTGTCTAACCCATTGACACAGTGTTACACTACTTACTGCCTAACTCATTGACACAGCGTTATTTTACTTACTGTCTAACCCATCTACATGGTGTCATACTACTACAGACATTGAAGCGCAAGCAATATCATTAAACAGCTATCAGAATTTAATTTTTCATTCTCCACCTCCACATTCTGACTCTAATGATACTCTTATTTGGAATAATTGAGCAAAACATTCTGACTCTAATGATACTCTTATTTGGAATAATTGAGCCAAAAACTTGCTCGCTTTTACTGGCTCAGATGTTGATTACACAGCAAGAATGGAAATGAAAACAGAACATAAAACATAAAACTGAACAAATGAGATCACCATTAATATCTTTATTACAAATGTGCAATAGAGTAGGTATTTTAAGCAGAGTTTCTGCATTTATAGCATGTGCAGTGCTTGAAAGTATAAATGTAATTTCAAAAAGAGAACATTTTAAAGTAATTAAGTAAAGAAAAACAGACTTAAAAGGATCCCAAACCTCCGAGATATGTTCTGTTCATATTAAAGAAAATGAAAAAAAAAAATGTTTGTTTTCATAATTGATCTCTTAAACAAACAAAAAAGTCAATGATGTCATGTACTGAAACTCTTAGGAATAAAACGCGCTTGAATAAATTATTAAGTCTGTAGATTGCTGTGTGTTATATTCTGACTTTTTGGCCTACAACAAAAAGGAGAAGGCAAATTTTGACTAAAATAAAAAAAATTTCTTGGTATTCATTTATTCTTCTGTTTTAATCAAAATAATTTAGCCAAACTTTTTTTTTTATCATTCTCTTTAATATGAACACAACATGTCTCAGAGGTTTGTGATCCCTTTAAAATACAAGGTTGAGACCAGGTAAATATTCAAATGTTAGAATGTTTGCATTTTGATGGAAGAAAATATACAAAATTAGTTATTGATGCTAACAATGAAAAAAATATGCAAAAAAACTACCACAGAAGAACATGTAATTTTAGCACAGGAACCAGGGTCAAAATCTCTTGGGCATGTATGGATGCATCAGGACATGGATACAGCATTAAAGCAAGTACTCTTAATTCCTTAATAAATGGGGGGGGGGAGATTTATTATTTTTGGAAAGTTTTTCCACACACCCAAAGCTTATAAAGCCCCTCTCCCTTCCTCCCCCCCCCCCTCCTTTTTTTTTTTAAATTAATTTTTACTTGTTGTCAACAAAAACTTTATATCTCAAAACTTAAAAAAAAAAAGGCAGTAAAAATCAGCTATAAAAATTAGAAAATAATTTTTTCCGTGATAAAAACAAAAACCTTCAATGTAAACAGGCTTTTAAAATCGCCAACCTATTAATCTCTATTTGTCTAAAATGAATTTTTAGTTTATTTCTCACCAAAGTATAAAACTTATATCAGCATATTCCCAGTGGGTACGGACGTAAAAAAGACCTCTTTTAAATGTCTTATACACATTTTGGACGTCTTTTGAACATTTTGGACGTCTTTTGAACGTTCAAAAGACGTCTTTTTTAGGTCCGGTGTCCACTGGGTTAAATCCTATTGAAATTATGATAAAACAGCTGTTTAAAAATACACACTTGACCACATTCCACGCTAGAATTTAATAGTTTTACGTAAAAAATGTAAAATGATGTGTTTTGTAAAAAATAACTTTTTACAAAACACATTATCAACTTTTTTATAAAAAATACTTATACTGTAACATAAAAAAGTTCCCCTCCTTTTTTTTATTAAACCCTTACCCTGCCCCGGTTCATTAGACCTGGATTAAAATTCCAAATGTTTTTTTCTGTTATGCTTATCAATGCGTGGCATTATATAGTTATTAATGTTCATTTAAGCAATACATGCTCTATAAAATAGAACATGTTCCTTTACCTAACATCTTGAAAATAAAAACTTTAGTAATTCTAAAAACAGCTGAAAAAAAAAAGTAAAAAACATACATATTATTTATAAACTAAAGTATATTCTATAATTATATTATTTATGATAATGATAATAATGAGATTTATAAATATATTGGATATTTTGGATATTTATCAATATTTGATTAGAAATACAGATTTGATAACATTACCACACGTACATCAACAATGACTCGTGTAATTTTAGATTAAGACATCTCATTTGGCTGATAAAAAATTAAATATACTATAATACAATTTTGATAGGTAACATAAATATTGTATATATAAATGTTTTATATGAAATTTTAAGTTTAATGTAGTTTGAATTGGTATTGAATGCCATGTTAAATCCCACTTGTTACAAATCTTTAAATAGGAATCTCATGGTGATTGGTATTGTGTGGAATATGGTTCTGCTTTAGTGGATGAACTGAAGCAAAAATTTGGTAAATAATACTGTTTTTAATTACTATTATTTTTACACTGTGAAAAAAAAAATCAGAAATAAAATTTCATCTGTGAGGTCTCTGATTTTTATATACTTTTTTATTTAAAAGTATGCAGAGTATGGATATTCACTTTGTCAGTCATGTTGAAATTTTATTACACAGTATTGCAAATGAGTGGCGCAGAGGTCATACTTATATAAGAAAAAAAATTCCGAAGGAAAATGACTGGAAGTATTAGCGCCACAAGTTTAAAGTTTCGTTTTTTGTTATTTTTGACCAATTTTACACCATGTTTTGATGATTGGCGCAAATTGTATCCTTATTCAAAATTATTAAAAAAAAAATTTTAATTAGTATCTTAAAGTCTTAACCAACAAATAAGAATTAGTATGTTACAGTTTCTTACATATAATGGGCCTATCTAGTTAAAAAAAAACCTTAAAAATCACTATAATATGATGTTTTAATCAAACAGAGTGTATAAATAATAAACACATATATTTCCATTGCTTCTAAAAATGTTTTCCATCCTAACTCCACTTCTATGATTAAAAGTTTACAAAGAGGTGTTAATAGGCGCAGTGACGCCGGGAACATGGACATCCCCACCCCCCAACCACCACTGTAGTGAATAGATGTTTTAGGTGGGTTGTGGGTAGCAGGGGGGTGCGCAGAGAACTTGTAGGGGACAAAAATGACAATTCCAGAAATTTAAAATGTGGATTTTACAAGCGTGTTGTGGTTACCTTGGGCCTATTCACCTTATGTTAAATTAGCAACTGGGAGAGCAAGGAGCCATCACCCCTCTGTGTAAAAGTAGAAACAAAAAAACTCTTAATATGATAAATATTTATTATAAGCTAAAATGATAAATATTTATTATAAGAAATTATGATAAATATTTATTATAAGCGTAGACATGGCCCTCCAGTTAGAAAAATGCTTTGCCGCTGCTGACTTGGGAAGAACAAGCTGGAGTGGGATAAAAATTAGCTAAGTAATTGTTTAATTGGTAGCCTATATACTTAGCACAAAACTAAATAAATCAATATAATACGATCTTTTAATCAAACAGAGTAATCAATAATATATGTTTTAAAATAGTATATATTTTAAAGCTACTGTATTTACAAATCAATTAGATATTTGCAGTTTTATAGAAATGTAATTAGCATTTTACAAAAAGGTATTACTGGGTAGTTCTGCTAGAGTATAAGGATCCAGAGCAACAGATATTGTCTGTGAAACAAATAAGGTTGGAGCGACGGCAGTAGCTGACTCCTTGTATGCATTTTTTGTTTTGTTTCCTGTTTTTTTCCAAGCATTTTTTATTTGGAGTAAGTCCTGCAGCTTTCATTCACTCTTGATACGCTAAACATTGTCTTGGATAAGTTTTACAGCTCTTTCAGACAAATTGTTGACCACATTAACAGATTTAACAAAATTCTGGAACTCCTGGAAGATATCGTGGAAGTTCTTTCCAAAAGATTTGTGGAAGTTTCATCCAGATACATTTTTCCATTTTACGCCCTAGAATGATGAAGATTAACCATGATTCGGTAGAAACACAAGAAACTAAAGATGGGGGATAATTGTTATGCTGCAAAACACTAGCGAAATCTGGAAGAACTGCTCTGACTCTCATAACTTCATTATTGTTACTGTCATCTCTCTCGGTTAAGTATACCAACCTCACCATTTCTTTCATGCTTTTGTAATGGCTACTGTAAGAAGAGGCTAGCAACATTACAACTGTAGATGGATCTTGGTATGATTTTCCCATGATTTGACAACAACTTTGGCTGCAGGCTCAAATTTAACATAGTGGCAGGTCTGCCAGTATTTCATCTGATCCTATAGAAAATTAAGGTGTTCTTATTCAAGTTATTAATATTTTAACTATTATGGTAATTTAAGAAGTTAGTTTATATACCAAACCTGAAAGGCAGCAGAATCTGCAAACTCACATGTCAAGAACCATGGAGCCAAGAACAGTGCAATATACTCAGCCATCCTATTAATCTCTTTGATTATGTCTTCATTCAGATTAGTGATCAGTCTGATCCTTGGCAGCAGTAGCTCAAACTTCATAAAGTAAAGAGCCTTGCCCATAAATCTTGCATGTGAGATGGCTCCAGTTTTGTTAATACTATACCTGGTAGCCTGATCTTTATCAAGATACATAATTACAAGCTCAGCTAATTTGCAGTATTTACCACGTTTATTCAATGTCTAATTAAAAAATAGAAATAATAAAAACTTTAGAAACAATATTATAGATATACAAAAAGTTATTGTTTGTTTTTAGTACTGAAAATTTAATTTTTTTAACTTACCTCAGTATTTCTCAATATACCTTGGTCCTTGAGGTGTTTGAACTTTTGGTGGTTAAATTTGACTAACTCCCTCACTTGATTCCCGTCAACCAGTACTGCTTCAACGGTTTAAACAATGGATTCTGGGGACCAACAATTTTGTAAGTTGCCACAGCATCAGAAAAATGCTTGATGTGAATTTTATCTACATGATGTCTGCAAGCCATCATAAGTAATTTTTGGTCATGAAATTTAGCCAACCTTGTGCAGACTCCTTTGAGACGACCAGCGTTTGAAGCAGGAGTGTCAAAGCATATCCCATGAAGGAACCGACCAATTTGAAAGAAATCTAGTAACTTCTGTATAGCTAAAAATTATTTCTCTCCTGTTCCATGGTCCAATCCTGGCACGCTAAGAATGTGGGTCTTATTGTTAAATCTTGCAAGGGCGCACAGACGGTCTTTTGTCTCATCTGTTGCACCTGTAAAATCCCTAATGATTTTCCCATCAAAGTGTAAAATTACTGGTGTATTTGTGTTGGTAACTATTTTACTTATATTACCTCTCAGAATAGCTGCATCCTCCCATATAATTTTGTCAGATATTCTGTGACCGGAGATGAGGGAAAAGGTAATACCATCAATATTTCCATCAGTACTGGTAACAACTGAACTTATAAGTGCATTTGCTTGATTGTTGGAAATTCCCATTTCAATTGCAATTCTAGCAGTTTTTGACACAAAATCTTTAGGGAATATGAGTACCTGACTTTTAGCAGCTTTCTTCCTTTTAGGTTGAGTTGTCTCAAAATCCTCATCATCAAAACTTTGATCAGTACACTCAAGTTCACAACCATCAAAACTAACTTTATTTTCAGTTAAAAATCTTGCCGATATTTCTGTTTCTGCTTGTACAGAAGAAATCTCCTGACTTTCTCTTAGTTTTGCTCTCACACTGACCTGCTCAAAATGACCATCAAGTTCTCCTATCACCATTTTTCAGCTTTCCATCTGGTCCTGAATAAAAAGTAAATCTTCTTCTATGTCCGATATCAGTGTATATTGTGTGTAAAGTTTTTAAAAAGTGTTAAGGTAGGTTATTTATAATATAAAAAGGACTGCTAATGTTTATTCAGTTCACTTTATAGAAAGAAATAAGTGTCCAATAGGGAAAAATTTGCGAGTCGAAGTTTACTTTTGATTCACAAGAATTTGTATTATTGCTATATCTTTAATCTTGACTTATATGTTAAATTTTGTTCATTATAGGCATTTCTTTAATTCTGTTACCTTCTAAAGATATCTCAATTTGAACTGAGATTCTTTTACTTTTAAATCTAAAATCTAAACGAAATGCATTTTTTGAATAATATTCTTATAATATTCTTCAAACATTCTTCCCTGGTTGAAGTGAGTATAAATACATTAAAGATATTTTATTTGAAGTAAGCCAAAAATATTTTTGATGTTACTTATATATATTGTTAAAAATTCTCACTTATTTTGATGAGAAAATAAAAAGTCTAACCTGAATGTTTTGTTTACAAGCGGACAAGCAATTAAATGTATCAGCGCCATCTTTGGAAATCTGTCTCTTAGAAACAGGTAATGTTGAATAATGTGCTTCCTCAGAGGAAGCTGGTTTCTCTTCATCTTTTCCAAGGTAGCCCCTACAAGGAATCTTCCTCTACGAGTAGACCATTTAGGAACATTTAGTTTCTTTCCTTTTTTTCCAATTACATGTTCTTTACTGGAATCCTCAGTTCCTTGGGACATTTCTAGATACCCCTGTTGTCATTTTTCGTTTTATCTGACAGAAAGATTTTCGGATTAATAATTTTGCTCCATTTTATCTTATTTTAAAAGCCTAATTAACTAATATAATTATTTAATAATAATATAATAGACATACAAGGAGCGTCATAACTCGCTCTACGGATCAAGAGTAAGGTGAGTTTGGGAAGAACGACGATATGTTAGAGTGAAAGTCAGAAGTAGTCGAGTTAGAAAGATAGCATAGAAAAACGGACAGAGTTGCACCCGATGTTAGAAGGTGCTAAAACGTACTGTTAGCTAGGTTCACCCAACTAATGTACGCCGACAATTAAGTTGATTGGAGTTCACTTAACATGAACTCTTTTTCAGCTTTATTTGTCGTCTAAAATGTCGTATAAAAACTTATCTATTCTGTAAATGATGACATTGCATAGTTACACTTTAGAAAGCTCTGGAACATTTTATGGCGATTGCGTGGTTTTTGATCTACATTGCTCTCAATTAATTTTAATGACAGCTTTTATGGTATATTTGAGGATTTTTTTTTTCTAATGACAATTTCTATGGTATACTTGAGGGTTGTTGTTTTTTTTTAATTTGCGTTAATACTTGTAAAAAACCAAAGTTGGATTTATTGAAAATAAAAAAAAATGTTAACTTGTTGTTGTGAGAGAATAAGAACCAATAAAAAAAAAACATTGTTATTTTTTTAGTCATTGTAAAAAATTTGTAAACCTCATGTTTTGCTGTTTTGTAACATTTTTGCTTTTATGAAATAATAAAACAGGCTATAAAACTTGAATAACTCTTATATACTAATTCTTTATTTTTTAATGAAGTTCATCTGGTTACGGTATGAAGTTTATTTTTCGCATTGGTTGATGGGTTCTATTAGCGCCAGTTGCTTGAAAACGCCCTAAATTTCTCGAAAAAAGTTCAATTACAAAATTTAAAACAGTTAGCGCCAATACTGGCAGTAATGCAAACACAAAAAAAAATTCTACACTAATAATATGATACCCTAATATTATTTTTAGACATACTGTGTATTAAAAATCCAACATGACCGACAAAATGGATATTCCTAATGCAGATATACCGAGAAAAAATTTACAGACTTTAGAACAGATCAGGAAATAAAATTTTCTTAATCGGTTCATAAATTTGTGAGGCAAAGGTAAAGTAAATGAATATTTAAATTAAAAACAGAAATAATTCATTTTGATACTTTAATAAATGAGTTATTAAAAAGTTATTCTTTAAGAAACTCTACCATACTAAAATAAACTTAAATAAACGTGTTATACAGAAAAGACGATTGCTGGTGTTATTTTTTATAACTGTTTCTAATTGAAATAAGATGTTGTACACGGACAAAATTCTTATTCTGTTTTTTTTTTAATTCTTTTTGTTTTATTATAATTGTGTTTTATTAAATTACTGTTGTGTTTTGTTTTGCTTATAGAAGTCAACGGAATACCTACATTAGTTGTTTGTAGAAAGGTAACTAAAAGAATTTCCCGATATATATTTATCAACTTTCTGCCAAATTTTGTTATATTTACTTGTCGAGATCGTATATGATGAACATATGAAAATTTGAAAAAAAAAAACAATGCTACGTCTTATGCTGTTATGAATATATATTTATAAAATACAAAAATAAATATGTAATTATAGTTGCAAATTACATAAAATGCTGATATTAAGTTGTTGTGACAGTATTTTGTTCTTTTATATGAGCGTTTTGATAATATAGAGTTTTTTAACTTGTTTTTCTTTTTCGTTTAGGATGGGTCTGTTATTAATGCCGATGCTAATGATGATGTTTGTGATAAAGAACCGTCAGCCCTCTTTGCTGAATGGAAAAATCAAAAATGATTTTTTAATACCCACTTTAAGCGCCATTTTAGAAACATATGCTTAAAATATTTCTAAAATGCCAATTAAACTTTAAATGTAAAAAAATGAATGTTGTTTGTGTTAAAAATGTTATTCTTAAATCATATTATTATATACATAATTATTATTAAAATGCACTTTGTGTATTTGCAATAGTTTCGTGAAGTAGGTCATTTAAAATTGATGTAAAGTTTTTTTATAACAAAAAATAAAGTTTGAGCACAAATTCATATGACTCTTTGTTTTGCAGCATCAAATTTGTTTAGAAACAATAACTTAAAAAATAAAATTTAATGTGTTAAAAACTTTGAATTTATAACAAATTTTAATTAAGCTAAATTAACAATTTTTACAACTCTAAGTACACGCCATTAATCTTCATAATATCTATTCAAATATTAGTACCCTCCTTCCGTTCCGTCAGCAGTCCGGCCCGTCTTATAATTGATAAGACTCAAAACTTTTTTATTTTTATATCAGCATTTGAACGTTTCCTATGTAATCCTTATTAATTGCTTAGCCAAGAGTTGCCCTTGTCCAAGTTTTTGGTAGTAGAACACATTGAGAATTTCAATTAGTTTAACGCTGCGCTTTCCTACGTAAATTAGCTAAGGCATAAATATTTACATTCTTAAACTACTGCAGCCGTGGCGCAGTGGTTAGGATTCTGGCTTTAAACCAAGAGGCCTGAGGTTCGATGTCTGTGTTGTTGGCAAAGTAAACTAATGTGTTTTTCTAACGCGGTTTCTTAATGATGTTTAAACTAACGGGTATAGTTTTATTGATAAAATAGTTTAAAACAATGTTAGAAAGTATCATTTTATCAAGTGTAGCAATTGAAGTTTGTTAAAAGTGTCTGAGCACGTTGTCAGAATTTGTAATTTTTTTTGAGTCGCTATAATTTATCATTTAAATTAAATAAAAACGCATTACGACATTTTGTTTTAAATACGCGTTTAGTTGACAGGTTATTATAATACGATTTTATTCACTATTTTTTGTGTGTTATTTAATTGTGTAATTTTGGGAAGAGTATATAATAAAGGAAGGCTGAAAACAAGTTGAAGCAATAGAGCTCGGAATTTTTTGTTCACTACACACTCGCGAGAGTGTTGGCGAGCGCTCTACCATTACCGCATGTACACTTAAAGTTAAAAATTTGATTTAAAAAGTATATCAGTAGAAATACCTTCAAACTAAAAAATATAGTTATATTTCAAGCAAAGAAATGAAATCAAAAATAAGTTATAATTATATTTTACAGTACAAATAAAACATTACATACTCTACTCTAGCATTTCAGGGACCATTTCATCCATTAAAACTCTGGTTAATTAACTCAAAAATAATTTAAAAAGTATTTCGGACTCCAAGGAGTCTCTATTTTTTTGACCCCTGAGTCCCTAAAAATTGGTAGGACTTCCCTAATAAAAACACAACGCAATAAATTATCGACCGGAACTGGCAAAAAGCAAGGTCTTGTCATCCTAACCCGTTAACATAAATAACAATACATCTGATAAAAAGGAAAAAAAAAAAAGTAGTGCGAAACTGTCTACGAAAAAAAAATTTAATTATATTTTATTTAAAGATATCAAAAAATCAGCTTGTAGTTAATGCAAATTAGTAAAACTTAAATCGAGATTTTTTATTCAAGTCTCACCTTTGACAATCTGTGACTTAGGCTTCAAATGAAATGAAGGAAAATTTTTATTTAATACAACTTTTTCTGGTTATGTTTTAAAAAAAGTTCTTAGAGATTTTATTTTCATTTGTTTATACAGAATTAAATCATTTTATCAAATTTCTTTTTCTTCTTTAGGGTTTTGCTAAATCGGTTTGTTTTAAATTATTTTAAATAAAGTTAAACAACGTCCTTATTTTTGACATGATTAGATCAAAGTCAATAAATTTCATAAAAAATATGTTCACTCAAAATTGTAATGTTCTCCGAAAAAAAAAAGTAAAAGTAAACAAAACAATTATATGTTGGTCGTTGTCCTTTTTTCTTCTATTTTCTGAAGGAATATTCTACAATCTTTGCAACAGTTAAAATAATTCCAACATCAAGCAAAGTCCTCACTTAAAAATAGCATTCAAGAACTTGAGATTTCACAAGTCTGGAAATTAAAGCTAAAGTTAGGACACCGCAGTTACATTATATTAAATTATATAACATATTTAAACAATTTAAAACTTAGTTATTAGTGGTTTAAAGAAAAAATCTAAGGAAAATGCTTGGCAGCATATAATTTTTAAACATAAACATAAAAAGTAGTATGTTAACAATATTTATTATATATTTAATATATATATATCAATATATATTTAAACACTTTTTGAAAACAATTTCTCTTGATGTGGTCTCGCACAAGCGTATTTGTTTCCATTTAATACCATGTGACTCATTTTTTATTTTGTAGATGGAATTTAAATTCCAATAATAACTACTTGCCCAGAATATGTTACAGTAGCTGATGCAGTTATGATTAAATGCAAAATAAATATTTTATAAACGGTTTGTGTTCAGAATATGTTCTGTTTTATACTTAACACCGATAATTTCGGCTACTTTGATATAATTAGCAAATATGTTCATTAAGAGCTATGTCCAAAAACTTGATTTAGTTTTATTATTGTTATTATTACTTATTTCAGTGATCAAATACAAATACAATAATCCATTTATAATTTGATGAAGAGGTGCTACACCAGGCCCCTCTATGCTGACAAACATGGAGATACAGACGCTACAGACAAAGTAGCAGTTGTATCTATAAAGTTACTTTCTTATGTTGTTTTTGAAAGCGTTGATGGATTGAGCGTTTACTGCTTCTTGTGAAAGCGCATTCCATGGGGCGACAATTCTGTTTGAAAAAAAGTTATATCGCTCCTCTTAGTTTTTTACCATCTGACGTTCTACTTTATGGTTATGGCCTCTTAGAATATACATATCTTTACTTTTTGAAAATTTTTGCGGGACGATAAAACTGACAAACTTGAGTTTACGAGTGATTTTGAATTGCTCGATAAGATCTGCTCTTTTGCGGCGTTCTTCAAGAGTTGTTAAACCGAGCCGGTAAAATCGATCTTCATAGGACAGTTGTTTAATAGTCGATATAGTTTTTGTTGCTCATTGTTGGACTTGCTCGAGAATGGCAATGTCTGATTTTAAATGCGGTGACCAGGCTTGAACAGCAAACTCAAGATGGGGGCGAATGTAAGTGAGGTACAGTGTGCGCCATAAATAAAAACTGCGACTGCGAAATGTTTTTTTAAGTCGCCCTAGCATTCTATTTGATACTAATGCGGCTGACTCTATTTGTGGTCGGACTTTAAGATCATTCGAGACCAACACACCAAGGTTTCTTTCGACTGCGATTTTTTCGAGAGGAAATTATTTGAGGACGTTAGACATTGAGTATTTGTACGTCGACTTGTTACATCCGCGCCCAACATGCATTACTTTGCATTTTTCAACGTTAAAATGCAAGAACCAAATGTGTAATCATTCCACTGCTCTGTCAATGTCATCTTGGAGAGTGATGCTGTCCGACTCCTTTTTAATTATCCCTATTATTTTGCTGTCGTCGGCAAACAGTTTCATATGATGAGAAATTCTTTCCGGCAGGTCGTTTACAAAGATTACGAATAGCAATGGGCCCAAGGCCGAGCCTTAAGATACTCCACTAGTGACTGCTTTTCATTCAGAAGTAATGCTGTTTATAACGACTCGTTGACAACGATTGTTTAGCCAAGCTGCAATCCAATCAACGAGAGCGCCTTGAATACCGTACGCTCTCAGCTTATGAAGGAGGCTTATGAACTTTATCAAACGCCTTTGAAAAGTCTGTGTAAATGACGTCTACTGCGTGTCTGCAGTGAGTTGCTTTCGTCATGATATCCCGAGTTTCTAAAAGGTTTGATACGCATCCCTTACGATGAACAAAGCCATGCTGGTTTGGAGAAATTAGACCATTAACAACGTATTGTTTCATTATTCTTTTTTGTAAAATACTTTCCATAATATTGCTAGGTATGGAAGTGAGCGAGACTGGCCGGTAGTTGGGTGCTTTAAGCCTACTCCCCTTCTTGAAAATTAGTGTTACATTAAATTTTTTCCACAAGTCAGGAACTACACCAGTTGCAAACGAGTATTTATAGATAAGCGAAAGAGGTTTGGCAAAGGTAGCTGAACATTTACTGAGGACCCGTGGATGTAAGCCATCGTAGCCGGTTGATTTTCTTTCATCAAGGCTGTTAAGGCATTTTTGTACTATGTCGATAGAGAAAGTTATTAAACGATGCGCATATATCGCCGGTATCGGTTGTGATGTTGCTATTGACTGTTTCAAGCGATGTAATGTTGTTACTGACGCTCTGCTTGCTTCTTATATATGCATGTAAGCGTTTAGAGTTGCTTTCAGAATCCCTGACGAGTAACTCTTCGTACTTCTGCCTACCAGCTATGACCATTTTTTTAACTTTTGTGCAGGCAGTGCGATGCAATTTTTTGAGAATTTTGTGCGTATCTCGACCTGCATTAATGTACTTGGCCCAAGAAGTGCGTTTAGCTTTGACCGCTTCAATAAGTTCTGGTGTTACCATTGCTCCTATTTTCCTGTAAAGGGAGTGGTAGTTGACGAAATGTATAGGTTAGTGGCTTAATTGTACACGTTTGCTAGAAGTTGATAATCTTCGTTTGCATTTAGTCCAGTGAATATTGTTTCCCAGTCAACAGCTGCAATATGTACTGATATTGCTGCGTAGTTTGCTCGACTCCAAATAAGTCGATTAATTAGTAGATCAGGTAGTTTTAAGGGGAGGGTCTCCGATTTTGATATCTATGATGCGTAATTGGCCAGAGCCGGTTTCAAACCAAAAAACTCCAGTTCTAAAGACAAACCTCTCACCAATACGCTACGGCTAGTCAAGTTATCTTATTTCATTATTATTTATTAGCTAGTTGATACCTAAAAAACGATAAAATAAACATGGTAGACACCTTGTTTGTCTAAGTATCATGCTTCAAAAGTATGTAAAAACTGATTTGTTGTTTATTTCAATTTTTTACAGGGCCCGCAACCGCGGGAGAGCCCAGAGTTATTAGGGGCCCAAGCAAAATTTTTCATATTTTTATAAAAAGTTGACATTTATAAAAATAATATGCATGTATATAAACATAGCAACATTAGCAATTTTTGCTATCATTATATAGCTAAAAAC